TTTTGCGTTATTAAAGTACCTTATTTGGCGTTAACGTAACATTGTAAATACAGGGACAAGAACATGTACGTTAARGGGGCAGAAGTCAAGAAAATGATCGAAAAAGCAAGATCCAACGATGTTGAGTATGTTTGTTCACAACACTTTACTAAATATGACTCAAAAACCTACAAAACAGTATAACACTCCCATAATGTCTTAAACACTGAGAAATTAACTCTGTCAATGAGTATAGTTCAGTGCTCAATTTTTTCTTACAGGGCTAAAGTCAAGATTTTCACCAATGAGCTTCTGCCGAGGTAAGCCATTTGTTTGTCCATGTCCAGGTGTAATCTTACTAACACGAACTATATTTGCAGGCATCCTCCAGTCTTCCATGAATGGTTTTTAAAAACTTTTCCCAATCCAACGTCTTGGTAAGTTGATATAAAAAAATACAAACAGCTGCCATTATGACAACAACAATCTTAGTTACTCATCTTACAACAAGTTGGTTTTTGCAATATGATTTTAGGTATCAGAGTTGGTTTTTGCAATATTGTTTCAGGTACCAGAGTCGTATATCGTACTGTCGTACAACAGCCGTCATGTCTATGGTCGGGTATATCCTGGGACTTGGTGATCGTCATGGTGAAAATATCTTGTTTGACTCMACCAATGGYGACTGTGTRCATGTCGATCTTAACTGTTTGTTTAACAAGGTATGTTTTGGTGTRTGTATGTTGTTGGTTTTCAATGGTTGTTGTTTCGTTAGGTTTAGGTAAACTTATAGCRTAGTTGTTTTACATTAGGGAGAGACGTTTGATTGCCCTGAAAAAGTTCCCTTCCGTCTCACACATAACCTTGTGAATGCTATGGTAAGTTTTTGTGCATGWTTTACTTGGGATCCCTGTGTTTATGCGTCACATCACTTCTATTGTTTACAGGGTCTTCTTGGTTGTGAGGGCGTGTATCGTCGTTCTTGTGAAGTAACATTAAGACTAATGAGAGAGCAGTGTGACTCACTATTGACGTAAGTATACAAGTATGTTGACAGCTACGGAAACTTGCTGTGAGTAATTTTGCAGGGTTAATTATTGACTCATTCATTCATGTAAGGAAAACGACGTTATAGACGCCTTTTATGCGTGAATATTACCCACAATAACTTAATAGACCTCTAAAGCTTTTACGTCATGTACCGTATACGCAATGCATTGTAGGATATGTTTGGGACAGAACATGGCGGATTTCTTTTGTTTTCTTTAGAAACTGATCCCACAATGCATTGGAAATCAAGTAGTGACATACAGGGTTCAGATGTCTATTTCCGTCGTGCATTCCAATCGCCCCGACAACCTTTTCAGAAATAACAATATCCCTTTTAAGCGAACTTCAATACTAAGTTTAACGACAGGAAGCCCAATATATCACCACTGTTGTTATGTCTTGCAGAGTTCTGGGTACGTTTATCTATGACCCTCTCGTTGAATGGCAAAAACGAGGWCGAGACGTGGCTTCTGACGCTAAAAGTAAAGAAACAGGCGARGTCACCAATGAAGAGGTAATCCTTTTACCCATCATGCATTGTGCCACACCACAGGAATCCCACAGTACTGATTGTTATTGTTGATGTTTGACAGGCTGTTAAGATTCTTAAAGACATCGAACAGAGACTAAAGGGTTTGAACAGCAAGAATAGGATCATGATACCGCTGTCCATTGAAGGCCAGGTYCATAAGCTCATTACGGTAAGTGCTGAAACTGGGAACTGAAAATGAAATTATTGATGAATGGAAAAGGGGATGAATGAGAACAAAAGGGATTATTRAGGAGATTGAATAAATATCCGTATGCTTTTAGAATATATTGATAAATGTCATCATATTGTTTCAATCTCCAGGAAGCGACGGACATTAAGAATCTGGCTCAAATGTACATCGGCTGGGCTCCATACCTATGACAACACCAAAACWCTGTACTCCACAAGTTAGTCAATAAAAAGTTTATTTTTTCAGCACTGTCATCTTATATCTATCTAAGCTGAGCGAGATTTACTGCCGGAAACAGTTCAGCAGATTTTGTTTAAGATCCTATATTATTACGATAGTAACTATTCAGTTTCTAWTCATGCGGGTTTTTGTTTTCATTCCAACTGTTCAAAGACGTTTTGTACATCGCCAGTTGATATTTCTATSTACAACTGTTGCATGAGACATTTCTTTCAAATCATGTAACACTATTTTATCTAGTTTCCAGRCTCGTAGATCGATCCTATCGTTAGGTATGACGTGTAACTACTCTCTATTACGTCATCCATGACATCACCAGTTACGTAATCAGGTATTTTGTAATGTCGAATCTTGTCGTTTGCTAAGGATTCTGGTCTGGTAGATRATGATTGACAGCATGACGATGATGACGATGGCCATCACTGCGACTACTGCAGTCAGTGCCTTGGTGGAGTCTAACAAAGGAGCAAAATACGACAGATTAACAGGATTATGCTGTCTATTAAACTATTGATGATATCCTAATAATAATCTCAGTCTTACCTTTTTTGGGAGGGCAGTTATTCTCGTTACCATGGCTACTAGTAGTTGTTATCATCATTGCAGTGGGGGAGTTGGCTAATTGCTGCGATGATAAGGAGGGTAAAAGACTATTCCATAATTCCATGCGGTCAGGCAAGAATTTGGATTTGCTGKTAATACTAGTTGCTATGGTAATATAGTCTCCATTTTGTGTGTATGTCGGCCATATTGGTTCGACTTTGTTGGGATGTGAAGGATTTCTGAAAGGAAAGAAGTTGGYATAACTCTCATTCTTACATACATACTGAAAGCARTKGTAGACTCGTTCTTACCCACTCTTAACAAAGTTGATCCACATGGTAAAAGCTACGTCCATTACACTGCGCATCATCTTGTTTGAAGACTGCTGACCAAATAATCCKCGAACATCGTCTCCATGAGTATAACCGCTGTGCGTTGTATTGAAGGCCCCTTTGGTGATCAAATAAAAGAATGTAGGAACACTCCTCCCWGAGATAATGTCAGCTAGACGAACTGCTGGTCCATTGAAAGAACAATCTGAATAAAGTTGATTGAGTTTGTGGCTTCTGGTTGTGTCGTTGTTAGGGTTTTTCCAGTCTGTGTACATATACTTTASAATGTCTTTGTTTACTRTTCTCTCGCCAAGCCACTTGTTGCTTSCTATGATGTCACTAAATTCTGATTTACTGACGTCACSTGTCGCCTGGTTACCGATGAGACCTTAGATAAASAAAAAGTACACGTTACTTAGCAACAGGTGTCTTGAAGTCTGTATATCAGTCGTTAATTACCTGGTAACGAAGACCKCAATACCTTCCCATCATCCTCCAAAACACCCAACATCACATTGTCAACTGCAAATGATTGCGACTTGAAGAGTTTCTCGGGGGCATCTATARTGGATGARAAAATATCATTGTTGTTTTATTGGAGATGTTATGATGCTATATAGACTGTTATTATATCTGATGTTCARTCTTTCTGGAAATGTTGACGACTGGTCAACTTCCCTGTATTGTCACCAAATTAGGGAATTACCTGGTATGACGTCACCGTCGACAATTGGTCCAAACGGTACTTGTGTTGGCGTAATGTTGAATACTTGCTGGGCCTTGATGACGTCACTTATTGGCTTAGTAGCCAGGCATTGCGCAAGAACTGATATGTTGTYGCAGTTAAGATATTTGCYAATCCGTCTGAAAGAGCGTGTTTTAGATTCAGATATCKATCATCAAAGAAGTCTTWTCCAGAGACAAAGTGTTTGTTTGTCCAAGTGATTTTTGCGTCTGTATAATAGGTGTTTGTGAGGTTTATATTGACTTATTGAAGTGTACTCTCAGGTTACAATCAATAATTACCGAAACACTCTCTACTCGTCATCCTTGATTCACAGTCCCTGCTATTTGAGTCTATATTGACTGCACTCCCYCCATTCTGATTGACACTAGTCCCAGTCTCTCCTYCTTACCTGCTGTTTGACGCGGCAGTTGATTGGTCGAYGGTTGCCAGGGGTGATAAAGGAGAACCACTCATCATGATTGCTCKTTTGAATAATCCTTGTGCTTGCGGCGAGATGAGTAGTAGACCTACAGTCATTGCTGCCGACGAGTGACCSACTAATGTGATGTCATCGCGATTGCCTCCAAACCTAAGACAGTGATGACGTCAGTATAGTACAGACATCGTGTGGTCGTCGGGTTTTCTCAAAACATAATGTGATAATTGTCTGCTATAGTACATTGTTGACCGATGTTCAAGATTGACAATTGTCTTAAAAGATCTAAGTGTTTCGGATGGGATTAATGTTTGAAGGCTTTTAATCAGGAAATCTTCAGGCTTTTAGTTTAAGATAACATGGTTTATAAATAAAGAAGCCAAAATATTGTACCATATTGTCGAGGTTTTTATCTAAAGATTTCCATKTCTTATATTGAACATCTGAGATTATCGTGTCAGTTCTTATCACTTGCCTTCCATTGATCTTGTTACCATTCAATATTCATTCTTTTTCTCATTTATTCATAATGTCATTTAACCATTTTCATAATCAGACATTAAAACTACAATTTCATTCATGTTACATGCCGTTGATTTATTTCACGATTCAAACCATTTTTCTAAGATTTTATGGTTATTTTTGTGTTTTGCAATCACTATCGCTAACTATTATAGAAATCACAGACAACTGATATCGTAATAGTCTAATTATATAGAACTTGCCATAACATATCTTTAACAATAAAAACTCATTACYGCTAAGTGCTGGTTGTAATCAATTGACGGTCAATCGATAAGAAACTAAAGCAATACAATGCTAAAAGGTACATTATAGAACCTCCGCCTAGAGAACGATGAATTCATTGTCAAACGTTTCCTTTACTCGTTGTGATAGAATGAGTCTACAGGGCGAATGAATATCAGTTGATCTAATTTGTCTCAGCTTTGGTCCTAATTTTTTATTCAATTGTCGTTTTTTGACTTCAATTTAATTAGTTTTTTCCTTTTTAATTATCTTTTTTTTTCTTTCTGAGATTTTTCTCCTCTTTCATTTTATCAATTCCTATCTTTTTATTGGTTCAAAAAAATAATATTTATTTCCCTCGGTTTTCTCCTCGGTTTGCAATATTCTGATATTTCACTTCCACTTTTTCACTTTGTTATTCATCTCATTCATTCCGAGTGGTCTTAATGCCTTATAAGGTACCGTGCATTGCMGTATTCTATATCTCACCTGTATACCGTCGATTACTACCGTGTGGGTTGATTTATTGTCGTTTCTCGTTTTTCAAAAACAATTTATGGGCCTGTTAATGATATTTTCGGCCATCTGATCAAAGTTCGCTAGCCTCTTCGACCCTTTTAAGCTTTCTACTCGAATTCCATAAAGAGGAAGTGGAAAGAGGATTTTTTTACTTTATTTCTATTTTATTACTCGGTTTTTTTTTATTTTTAATGGTATTTTAGTTGTATGTTTTCTTCTTATAATTAATAAAATAGATAATTGTATTTGAAATCGCTTTTTTAGGCATTAGATTATTGTAAAAAGTCGGTCCAAATTTCGGTTTAATCTTGAAATGACTATCTTCAGTTAGATTTTTGACGTTTTTAMGACGATCCTTGAATAGTTTTGTTGTATTCCTAAGTACATAAATGTTTTCTAGCATTAAATCATTACTACATCTATAAACATACCTCGGGATATTGCGTCGAAGCCAAGTCAACGCCGCAATATTATCTCGTAACCCTAAATTCGTTGTAGTGTTTTCASCATTTAGAAAACCAGTGACCCCTAGACGATAATTGTAGGTTACCACGATGACTTCACCCTTGGATGASACGCTACTGCCGTCGATCAGGTCGTSCGCGTTGCCAATACTGTAAAAAACRTCGTGAATAAACGCCATAACTGGAAGGCCRCTAGMTGAAGTGTTCGGTACGAATATGTTTAAGTTAAGACAGTCTTCACTCGTCTCTTGAACGTAAAAAGATTGAGGTTGTGGACACGGTTTTCCAGGYYGAGAGGCATCATAAACTGTGTTCCATAGCGTGTCTTCACATTGTTTAAATCGTTCAGCATGACCATACTTTATCCCTAGATATTGCACTAGACTTTGATTGTACGACAAACTTCCTTTTACTGGTCCACTTGAAGTTTGTACAACGCGCGATCCTTCTATCGATGTCACAAAAAGAACAATAACCACGACATCCATGGCTACTCTATGCAAACTGATTAGCTGTAGACATCACTTGTTGTTTACTTGCGTGAGTTGTTCTATCAACGTTAAAATAATTTCTATTCACAGCGTCAACAATGCAAAAGATTGATCAGATGGTTGTTGATAATACAACCTCTTTATTAGTCATCTAGTCCAACGTCGACAGCAAGTCACACTTCAAATCGAAATTWGATCGTCTYATYCATAGTCAGTCTTTCATTGGTTACTGGACTTGTCTGAAGATTGAGCTCTTAATACAGCGAAATCTACCACAATGTGTTTAAAAGGACCTTTCTATTCATACTTAAAGCTTGTTTACGGCATGGATATTAATCACTGTGAACATCTGCTTTTATTGAACATTTCCCATCACTGCAAAYACTAGCTGTCATACAGGTTAGTTGAATGTATTACAACCACAAATCTACATTAATAAACGGTGATAATATTCATTTTCACATCAAATGGCCCATTATAAATCATCACAATTTTTCCACAGAGCTATTAATGGAAAAAGACGTATCTACTTAAATTGACTAAAAGATGCCCGCGGTTTATTTTATTATCGAAAACACTAATGGAAAATAGGGAAGTCAATCGCCAACGGCTTACAACCAAACAATTCCTATTTATGGTAAATTCTCAGTTTGGGGTATTTCGGTCTGTGTTTKTAGATTTGTCCGGTATAATCGATAATATCTTAAGTATATGCCCAGTTAGTATTCCTTTCTATGCTAGACATATAGGTCATTTACTAAGATCACATGTCTATAGCAGGCATACTCGGTCAGTATACCACTCGGTGTATACTAGATATACTCGTCATCACTAAGACTACCCGGTCCATACTAGGCCGGTATACCCGTGAAAAAGTCATGTTAATTTGATACAGATCGCKATAAACAGAGGAAATGAATGCTTTTTTCAGCGCAACTACACAAGGCCTGAGTGTATCTAAGATAAAAGCTTTGTAAAGGCTATGAGTACTGTACAAGGATGTTTGTTTTTGTTTTTATCTTAAAATGRATGTCGTTTTTGAGACGGAAATAGCTAATCCACCATTTACGCACGGATTAAAAAGTCAGTTGAAAATACAACTAATCCTACTTGTTCTTTGTCAGTTAATAATAATGAATATATCACTCGTTTTCTTTGGCTTTATAGTTGACAGTGAAAAATCACATCCAATTTCAATTTATTAATGAATGCAATTGTGTTACTGACTAAAATTCTCTCAGTAATCAGATGTCTTTTTTTACTGTTTTCATTGTCATCGAGCTACAGTTTCTGTTGATGCTCTTACCATTGTTGATATTACTACTGTTACCGTTGTAGTGTTGCTATTGTTGTTGGCGTTGCTGTTGTTGTTGATGTTACTGTTGTAGTGTTGCTATTGTTGTTGGCGTTGCTGTTGTTGTTGATGTTACCGTTGTAGCGTTGCTATTGTTGTTAGTGTTACTGTTGTTGTTGATGTTGATGTTATCGTTGTTGTTGTTGTAGCTATTGTTGATATTACCGTTGTCGGTGTAACTGTTGATGTTGATGTTACCGTTTAGTGTTGCTGTTGTCGCTGTTGATGTTACCGTTGTAGTGTTGCTGTTGTCGGTGTTGTTGATGTTACCGTTGTTGGTGTAGTTGTTGCTGTTGATGTTGTTGATGTTACCGTTGTTGGTGTAGTTGTTGCTGTTGATGTTGTTGATGTTACCGTTGTTGGTGTAGTTGTTGCTGTTGATGTTGTTGATGTTACCGTTGTTGGTGTAGTTGTTGCTGTTGATGTTACCGTTGTTGGTGTAGTTGTTGCTCTTGATGTTGTTGATGTTACCGTTGTTGGTGTAGTTGTTGATGTTGATGTTACCGTTGTTGGTGTAGTTGTTGCTGTTGATGTTGTTGATGTTACCGTTGTTGGTGTAGTTGTTGCTGTTGATGTTACCGTTGTTGGTGTAGTTGTTGCT